AAGGAGTACTTGTGGCACCTTAGAGACTAACCAATTTATTTGAGCATAAGCTTTCGTGAGCTACAGCTCACTTCATTGGATGCATACTGTGGAAAGTATAGAAGATCTTTTTATACACACAAAGCATGAAAAAATGGGCGTTTACCACTACAAAAGGTTTTCTCTCCCCCCACCCCCTCTCCTGCTGGTAATAGCTGAAACCTGTCATTATGCAAGGCACTGCATTTAGCCGTATGGAGTGGAAATCTATCAACTGCATGAAAAAACTTGTACAGATACAGACAGACATCATCTTCCTTTCCAAATGCAAACAGATGGACATCGTACCAAAAGGACTGAAGGTAAAAAATCCATTACAATCTACATACCACACAGACTATGCTGACAGCTTGTGCCACACGCTCTCAAAGAAACTGCGGAACCACCTGATCAACATCCTCTGCAGCAAACAGGGAAAGATAAAGAATGAGCTCTCAAAAATGGATACTCTCATAAAAAACCAGCCTTCCACACAAACTTCCTCGTGGCTGGACTTTACTAAAACTAGACAAGCCATTTACAACACACACTTTGCTTTCCTACAAAAGAAAAAGGACACTAAACTTTCTAAACTACTACATGCCACAAGGGGCCACAGCAATGGTTCCCTCAACCCACCTAGCAATATTGTTAACCTATCCAACTATACTCTTAGCCCAGCAGAAGCAGCTGTCCTATCTCGGGGCTTCTCCTTCTGCCCCTCCACCCCCACGAACATGATACAGTTCTGTGGTGACCTAGAATCCTATTTTCGACGTCTCCAACTCAAGGAATATTTCCAACACACCTCTGAACAACATACTAATCCACAGAGACCTCCCTACCAACACTACAAAAACAAGGATTCTAGGTGGACTTCTCCTGAAGGTCAAGACAACAGACTGGACTTCTACATAGAGTGCTTCCGCCGACATGCACAGGCTGAAATTGTGGAAAAGCAGCATCACTTGCCCCACAACCTCAGCCATGCAGAACACAATGCCATCCACAGCCTCAGAAACAACTCTGACATCATAATCAAAAAGGCTGACAAAGGAGGTGCTGTTGTCGTCATGAATAGGTCGGAATATGAACAAGAGGCTGCTCGGCAGCTCTCCAACACCACTTTCTACAAGCCATTACCCTCTGATGCCACTGAGAGTTACCAAAAGAAACTACAGCATTTGCTCAAGAAACTCCCTGAAAAAGCACAAGATCAAATCCGCACAGACACACCCCTGGAACCCTGACCTGGGATATTCTATCTACTACTCAAGATCCATAAACCTGGAAATCCTGGGCGCCCCATCATCTCAGGCATTGGCACCCTGACAGCAGGATTGTCTGGCTATGTAGACTCCCTCCTCAGGCCCTACGCTACCAGCACTCCCAGCTACATTCGAGACACCACTGACTTCCTGAGGAAACTACAATCCATCGGTGATCTTCCCGATAACACCATCCTGGCCACTATGGATGTAGAAGCCCTCTACACCAACATTCCACACAAAGATGGACTACAAGCCGTCAAGAACACTATCCCTGATAATGTCATGGCTAACCTGGTGGCTGAACTTTGACTTTGTCCTTATCCATAACTATTTTACATTTGGGGACAATGTATACCTTCAAATCAGCGGCACTGCTATGGGTACCCGCATGGCCCCATAGTATGCCAACATTTTTATGGCTGACTTAGAACAACGCTTCCTCAGCTCTCGTCCCCTAACGCCCCTACTCTACTTGCGCTATATTGATGACATCTTCATCATCTGGACCCATGTAAAAGAAGCCCTTGAGGAATCCCACCATCAACCTCCGCCTGGACCAGTCCACACAAGAGATCCACTTCCTGGACACTACAGTGCTAATAAACGATGGTCACAAACACCACCCTATACCGGAAACCTACTGACCGCTATTCCTACCTACATGCCTCCAGCTTTCCCCCTGACCACACCACACGATCCATTGTCTATAGCCAAGCTCTGCGATACAACCGCATTTGCTCCAACCCCTCAGACAGAGACAAACACCTACAAGATCTCTATCAAGCATTCTTACAACTACAATACCCACCTGTGGAAGTGAAGAAACAGATTGATAGAGCCAGAAGAGTTCCCAGAAGTCACCTACTACAGGACAGGCCTAACAAAGAAAATAACAGAATGCCACTAGCCGTCACCTTCAGCTCCCAACTAAAACCCCTCCAACGCATTATTAAGGATCTACAACCTATCCTGAAGGATGACCCAACACTCTCAAATCTTGGGAGACAGGTCAGTCCTTGCCTACAGACAGCCCCCCAGCAACCACATACCACACAACAGAACCACTAACCCAGGAACCTATCCTTGCAACAAAGACTGTTGCCAACTGTGCCCACATATCTATTCAGGGGACACCATCACGGGGCCTAACAACATCAGCCACACTATCAGAGGCTTGTTCACCTGCACATCCACCAATGTGATATATGCCATCATGTGCCAGCAATGCCCCTCTGCCATGTACATTGGTCAAACTGGACAGTCTCTACGTAAAAGAATAAATGGACACAAATCAGACGTCAAGAATTATAACATTCATAAACCAGTCGGAGAACACTTCAATCTCTCTGGTCACACGATTAGACATGAAAGTTGCGATATTACAACAAAAAAAACCTTCAAAACCAGACTCCAGCGAGAGACTGTTGAATTGGAATTAATTTGCAAATTGGACACAATTAACTTAGGCTTGAATAGAGACTGGGAGTGGCTAAGTCATTATGCAAGGTAACCCATTTTCCCTTGTTTTTTCCTACCCCCCTGCCCCCCCTCAGACGTTCTTGTTAAACCCTGGATTTGTGCTGGAAATGGTCCACCTTGATTATCATACACATTGTAAGGAGCGTGATCACTTTAGATAAGCTATTACCAGCAGGAAAGTGGGGGGGGGGGGGAAGAGAACCTTTTGTAGTGGTAAACACCCATTTTTTCATGCTTTGTGTGTATAAAAAGATCTTCTATACTTTCCACAGTATGCATCTGATGAAGTGAGCTGTAGCTCATGAAAGCTTATGCTCAAATAAATTGGTTAGTCTCTAAGGTGCCACAAGTACTCCTTTTCTTTTTGCGAATACAGACTAACACGGCTGTTACTCTGAAACATGTACGAGAGATTATTTTCATAGAGGCTATAAAACAATCTGTTACATCTTAAAAGCATGGGTCTTTCATTGCCTACAGTTAAGGCTAATCTTTCAGCCATATAAGAATAGCATGATCGTAAATAAGTTTTTATTGATGATGTAATTAAGAGGTTTTTAAAGATCTTAATTTGTATCCTCCAATTAGATACCCCATGCCATCTTGGGGCTTGAGCATAGTGCTTTCACAATTAATGAAACCTTCTTTTGAGCCAAGGGAAGTTGTACCTAGTTCCATCTATCTATAAAGACAGTATTTTTAATATGTCTTGCTGAAGTGATAATTAAGTGAATTGTGTGTGTCTAATGGCTGGTCTCCCATTTCATAAGGTAATTCTCTGTATACATTTGTCAGGGTTCCCTCCCCACTCTGAACTCTAGGGTACAGATGTGGGGACCCACATGAAAGACCCCCTAAGCTTATTTCTACCAGCTTAGGTTAAAACTTCCCCAAGGCACAAATTCTTTGCTCTTGGAGGGTATGCTACCACCACCAAGTAATTTAACAAAAGCATCAGGGAAAGGACCACTTGGAGTTCCTAGTCCCCCAAAATATCCACCCAAGCCCTTACACCTCCTTTCCTGGGGAGGCTTGAGAATAATATCCTAAACCAATTGGTTACAAAGTGATCACAGACCCAAACACCTGGGTCTTAGGCCAATAGAGAAACCAGTCAGTTTTTAAAAGGAGGATTTAAAAAAAAAATTCAAAATCACCTCTGTAAAATCAGGATGGAGAATAACTTTACAGGGTAACAAAAGATTCAAAAATACAGCAGAACTCCCTCTAGCCTTAGTTTCAAAGTTACAAAGAACAGGAATAAACCTCCCTCCAGCAAAGGAAAACTTCACAAGCAGAACAAAAAAGATAATCTAACACGCCTTGCCTGGCTTTTACTTACAATTTGTAATCTGAGAGATTTAGGATGATTTATAGGAGAAGAAGTTCTCTTACCTGATGCTTCTCTGCTTCCCAAAAGAACACACAAAACAAAGCCTCCCCCCCAAGATTTGAAAGTATCTTCTTTCCCCATTGGCCCTTTTGGTCAGGTGCCAACCAGGTTATCTGAGCTTCTTAAACCCTTACAGGTAAGCCGGAATTCTTGGCTACCCTTAGCTGTATGGTTATGACAACATTCAAAGTTGTTTCTTAACCAAAGGTGGTTTCATATTTTCATCTAATCTTACCAGGGTTTTTCCCCAAGCCTCACAGTCAAGATGAGGAAGCTAAGCTACATACATTAGATGTCTAAACAGGAAAAGCCCTTCTAACATCTAAACAACGTAGACAGTCTCCAAGCTTGTTTATACTGTTTGAAAAGAAAAATAAAAGGAAGACTGTTTCTATGCAAACTCTTTCAAGATGCATTCGGTTATGTATTAATGAAGCTTACAAGTTGCTTGGTTTACCTGTCCCTGAGGGAATTAGGGCACATTCTATCAAAGGCAGCTTCTACAGCATTTTCTAGACACATTCCTTTAACAGAGACATGCAGAGCAGCAGCATGGAGTTCAGTCCATGCTTTTCCTAAACGTTACTCAATAGACTTGGAATCTAGGTCTGCTGCAAAATTTGGCAAGCAGGTTTACTGTCTTTATTCAGTTAGCACTCCATGGTCCCACCATCCTGGACCACAGTTACTACTTGTTAGTCTATCCCAAGAGTGGGACTATGCAGACAACACTTGAAAAATTGAAGGTTACTTCCTATAACCAGAGTTCTCAGAGATGAGCTCTGTACTATTCACACTTCCTGCCCACTCTTTCCCCACTACATTAGAGTCCGACTTACCATGAGACGTAGGGTCGCTGAGGAAGACACTGAGGTGTCGGAGCACCATACCCCTTCTACACCCTTGCTCTAGAATATTTGATGTTCACTGAGGGGAGGAGCAAGGAAGATGCAGGAGTGATCCAATGGGGACTGCTAGCTAGAATTCTACCATTCGGGATGCTCTGACTGGTGCAGCCTAAGGGTGTTACTATGCAGAGGCCATCTTGAAGAACTCTGGTGGTGGGTAAGTAGCCTTCATTTCTCTCTGCTTGTGTGTTCTACTCCTTTGCCCACCCTGTGTCCGTCTTGTCTATTTAGGCCATGTCTACACTGTGAGCCAGGGGTGTGATTCACCTGCTTGTTTACTCCTGAGGGAATTCTGCACCAAAATTTTTTTTAAATCTGCACACTATTTTAAAATTCTGCATCTTTTATTTGTCAACACCACCACAATATAATCACGCCAGGTTCAATTTACGTCAAAATACCTGTCAGCAAGTATGTCTGTAACGATACAGACAATAAAAGATTCAGGAAATGTTTAACAAATAGATTCCTTACTAGGCATATTAATATAAAACTTCGAGAAATAAGTCATTTAAATTACAATACAGAAAATTTCCACACCTGTCAGGTGCAGTACAAAGACTTGGGGGAGTCAGGGGGAATGGAGGAACAGAGGGAGAGGGAAGTAATTCCTGGGAAGGAGCCTGGGAGTGAACCTGAAGGATTGTTGGGTGTGGGTGGGTGAAGTATGGAACAGTTTTTTTTGGGGGGGGGGGGGGAGGAGGGAGATTGTTAGGGAGTTGGGGAGCCTCTCTCATGCAGACACTGGTTGACCCCCTAGCCTCTCCCATTCTGTCAGGCACATCTTCTCTTGCCTCCATGTGTCTCTGTATGCCCCTGTGCCCCTGCGCCCCTGCCTCCCACTCAGCCACCCCTCCTCTCCCAGACCCCCTGTGCCCCTGCACCCCCTCTTCCATTCACTTCTGGCTCAATGCTGTCACCCTAGTAGTTCCTGTGCCCCTGCTCCAGCCTGCTTTCCCCCCCCCCACCACCACTAGCCCTTCCAAACCTCAGTCTATGTGACCCCTAGCAGCCCCATGCCCTCCTCCGTCCATCCCCACCCCCATATCTCCTCACCAGGTCCCATGGGCAGGGTGCTGTGAGGAAGGAAGTCACTGCCTCCTCCCTCTCTATGGCTGGCTACTCTGGCCCGGAGTTGACTGCCCTTTCTTCTGGTGCCACAGCAGTCCCTGGTGGATGAAAAGTATAATTTCAGCACCTTCCCAGCAGAATCCATTTTCTGTGGAGAAAAAAATCTGCAGGGGACATGAATTCTGTGCGAGCGCGGCGGAGCAGAATTCCCCCAGGAGTAGAGCACATACTCATGCTAGCCCTCATCGAGCTAGCGTAGTGTACAGAGTAGCCTAGCTGACAGATAGCAGCAGCAGAGGCATGGCTTAGCCGTGTCACGTATGTATCTGCCTGAAATCAGTGGGCACGTACTTGGCACAGCTCAGTCATGCCTCCGCTGCTGCTACCACAGCTATGCTGCTATTTATACTCACTCTTGCTTGATGAGCGCTAACAAGTATGTGTACACAAGTAGGGGGATCACACCCCTAGCTCACAGGGTAGGTATAGCCTTACTATACACTACTCTGTTTGTACACTGCCTGGCACAATGGGGCCCAACTCTTGGTTGGCCCTTAGGCAATTTGGTAACAAACATGAGGATTATTATTAAGTCTGTCAGAGCAGGGAGTTAAACAGGTCTCCCAAATCCCAGGCTCTAGCACCTGAGCTCTGAATCATCTTTCCTCCCTTAGAACTCCTTGAGGCTTACAGCAGTTTTTCCTATCTACACAGAGGTCTGGACACTGCTGGCTGAAATCCGCAGCGTAGAACAGGCTGCACGCACGCCACTAGTGTCACAGATGGGATCTGATTTCTGCAGTGCAGTGACCACAAGCAGGAACCTCAGAAATGCCCATTTTAATTTAAAAAAGCAAAGGTTTATTTTCAATTATATGACAAGATTTCCGTTAACCACAGCCCAGAAAAATCAAATGCTCTCATCTCACAGAGGACAAAAAAGTACTTTTGGATGCTAAACATGACGAGCTGCATCACTCCTTTCCCACCCAAGCCACCCTATTCAAATAATTAATATTTCCCTGCCTCTGAACAAAACCTAATTTCACCTGTATTCCCAGAGGGTCACAATTCCTCTTGGAAACCTTCTGTTGGAAACTCTTGGGTCAGGGATAAGGGGGTGAGATCTTCAGCTGATGTGAATTGGCATAGCTCTAGTGGAGTCTACTGAATATCTAGCCCCTTTTGTTTATTTCCTCTGTAAAGTACTATAGACATTTATGGTAGTATACGTACACACTACACATAGTAATAATGAACTCTGCCCTCAAAGTGAGCCTAAAGTCTGAGAAAATGGCCATACAGAACTCCCCTGTGACAAGAACACTTACTTTTTTAAAAAATACTGCTGGGATGTGTGACTCTTGAAGTAAAGGCCCTGGCATCCTAACCTTGGCCATGCTTGGTGTTTACTTGCCATTGCCTGTGTGCCTCTGCTACAAACATTCACTCCTTAAATGCAAATCACACTTTAATAATGGAGAGCAGCAGTTCTCACTGCTGTAGCTTAGAGAGCGCTGCATCAAGGAATTTCTTAACATCTCTCTCTGTTGGTAATTCTATGGCCCCTCAACACTGTATCTGAGCCCCTCACAGACATCAGTGGATCTATCCCCAAACACCTTTGTGAGGTAGGGAAGTATTATCTCCAGGTTACCTAAGGCATTCAGGAGTGAAATGACTTGCCCATGGTCACACGGAGTTTGTAGCAGAGCTAGGAACTGAGTCCAGATCTTCCCAGTCCCATGCCTTACCCCCAAGTTTATCCTTCTTTAAGTGCAACTCTCTTTTAAAGAACAACCACATCACACACTAGCAAAGCACTTCAGAACAATTTCTCTTCCTTTGCCTCTTTGTTTCATTCTCCATGCTCCCACTAACACATTTATTCTCTTAGCTCTGCCAGGGAGGTCAGCCTTACCCCAAGGGTGGGGTTTCCTGGCACCCACTCTGGGAAAACCAGGGTTGCAGCCTTTTGTTACCCTCACCAACCCACACCCAGATGGCCCAAGGGTCACTGTTCCTTTGGTTACCACCCCACTCCCAGGCGTGACGACAGCAGCGATGGGGAGGTGTGTACCCACTGCAAGCACATGGGTGGGAACTCCATTCCATCAGCATCTCCGCTCCCTCCACAGTTTAACAGGAACCCATTCTGACTGCTACAGAAGGGGAGTCCTGCTTGTCCATCAGGGATGCTCTATCGACACAGATGTACTTAACCCCCCCATCCCCCCCCGTCTCCTTTGCTAAAAAAGGTCAGATTGTGGTAGAGGTTGCATGTGCTGGAGAGTGGGGTAGCACTACAACTTCAGACTGACGGTGGCCTTGTCCACATTGACCGTTTCCTTAAAATTCCCCACCACTGTATTATCCCGAGGGTGACTCCACCACTGGTAGCGAAGGGGGGGAGCTCTAATGTAGACAAGGCAGCAGAAGTGGGCAGTATTTTTACCACGACATCCCCTCAATCTGGCAAGGTGAGATGACATGGTATTAAAAGCACCAGCAACTTATCTACACTAGTGCACCCTATTGCTACCACTGACGGAGCTACACCAGTGAATGACTAGATGCATTATCACTATCGGAAAAAGTTCAGGACAAACAGCTTGTAAGTTCTTTTCAGCCAATCTTTGACCTAGTGACCCATGCTATCACCTTCCTTGGTTCACCTGTTGTATCAAACTCCTTTTCTAGGATTACCATCTGTTTGTGGGAGGACAAATTGCTGTGCTGTTTCCATCTTTATGCTATAATGCAGCATCAATGCATGATGACATTGCATTGTGATGTGCCATCACGGTAGCTGAGAGCTCAGCCTGTCATTACACTGCAGCATGATGCTGAGACACCCAGAACAAACTCTGGACTCTTTAACTGTCCTGTGAGCTGCAGGCCTCCGGGACTGTGCTGTGAATTTTAAGAGACCAGGTGGGTGAGGGAATCTCTTTTACTGGACCAACTTCCGTTAGTGAGAGAGACAAGCTTTCAAGCGACACAGACCTGACGAAGAGCTCTGTGTAACTTGAAAGCTCGTCTCTCTCACCAACAGAAGTTGGTCCAATAAAAGATTTTACCTCACCCATTTTTGTCTCTATCCTAGGACCAAACACCTACAACATCGTATACTATGAATTCTAAGGCAGACACACCCTTCCTTCAGCATTTGGAATTCGGGGTCAGCCCATGTGCTCCCTTATACTGGAGTGGGAGGTGGAGACTGTGAGCCGCAGCAGAAACAAACTCTCCAGGGGTGAAAGTAAGTTAAAGAACCTATCAGTACGCCAGAGTCCTGAGCTGGAGTACGGTACGCAGGAGTCCTGAGCTACTGCAGGGCTTGGGTGGCGATTTAAAGGGCCCTGGGCTCCCTGCAGCAACTGGAGCCTTTAAATCACTGCCAGAATCCTGCCACTGCTACCTGGGGTCCAGCAGAGGGGCTTGGGAGGCGATTTAAAGGATCCAGGGCTCTGCCGCTGCAGGGAGCCCCAGGCCCTTTAAATCGCCAGCCTGGGGAAGCTGGTCCAGTCCAGCATGGCATACCGGCTCTTTCTGTTACGCCGGACCGGATCGGCTTACTTTCACCTATGGAACTCTCCCTACCAAGGAGGACAGAGGGCTCCACATTGCTGTCTAGCAGCTCTTGCTCTTGGTTCTCAGGATTCAGGAAGTGAAAATATGCTCCCTAGGAGATCCATAAGCTGTTGCAATATGGAACTCTTGAGGCATGAGGGAATCGCAGAATACTCTCCATCGCCCCCTTACCCCACCTCCCCCAAAACTGGTTTATCCCCAGTTTAGCCAGTGGGTGTATTCATGCCTAGATTCTGCTCTGGGAGAGGAAGGTATTTGCTCCATTTCTGATTGGAATAGCTCTCATTTCAAAAATGTGCTGTTTAGGGCTAATTGCATCAGCAAAACTTGCCTGGACCTGGGTAAGGACCGTCAAT